CATAACCTATTTTTTAGCAGTAGCTGTTGTTGGGTCTTTGGGTGTTAGGCTTCTCATCCCTAGGGAAATCTTTCAGTGACTAGAGTCCCTTTGATCTTGGCTCTGTACAGTCTCACACTTTCTCCATGCTTCCACTTTCTTTCATCTCTACTGCCTCTGTTTCTCACATTTCTCTTCAGCCATATTCTTGCCACTATTGCTAATGCAACTGTTGTTGTTACCCTCATATCCTTTTTGTCCCACCAGCTCAGGTAACTCTACCCATGATACACATCACACATAGACAAGAAAAGACTATTTGGAAGGAGCTTTTATTTTAGCAAAAGAGGATGTCTCTTAACTGACTTGAAAGCTAAGCCTGCAAATGCAACAGTGTATTTTCATGAATCACAGGCCAGCTTCCAGTTCTACCAATCACAGGTCTTACACACAGACCACCAACAAACTTTCTGCTGAGCTATGGAGTGAAGTGCTCTCTCTTTGGTCTAAACTAGCAGGATCATTTGGGATTTCTCTGAGGCTTGTCTTAGAGGGATGGCTCCTAAGGCCAGTGCAGTTGTCACAGAGCTGTTATGACTGGAGCAAGTATTACTGCAACCTGTGTTCTGTGAGCCACTACACGGTTTTGGTAGTCTCCTGGAGTTGCTGTAGGTTCTCAGAATAATTTCAGTTCCCAAAAGAGCCAGGCAGCCAAGTGGGAAGCCCAATGTTTGGCAAAGGAACTGATTCTCCATTTGAGGTCATCAGGTATAATATGATAGATATGATAATTGCTGTCACTGGTTAAGTGAATGGTCCCAGCATTTGAATTATTAAAAGTCAACGAGTATAGACAGCAGAGAAATAAAGTGAAATTAACATTCTTAATAATGCTCAGCACAGTTTTGTTTGTTCAAGAGATCAATCTGGTCCACCTTATGGACAGTATGGAACATAATGAAGCTGTAACATTAGCATGGCTGTATGATTCGAGCTCTGTGTATGGGGTGAATGACTGTTGTAGAATATGAGTTCCATAAATATATAAAATGTATATATGGTTATCAGAAAATCTTAACACTAAAGTGAGCTTAAATAAGGTGTGAAAGCTTAAAAAATATTTTGGCTCAGTTAACTTTAGTTATATGGCTAATGAAAAAATAATTTTAATTAAATAAAACAAATACTCAACAAATTGCACACCCCACTCAATAATAACAAGTTAATATTACTATTTTATGAGCATAGTTTTGGAATCTCTGTACAAATAGATAGAATAAAAAAATCTGATCTGATGGAGAGAACTAATTTTTGATACCAAAGTTATTTTCAATTAAAAATATTAACAAAAATTTTATTTGAGTTAATAAAAGGAAAAACAACTGAAGTAAAAATAAAAAAAAAAACTAAAGGGGACAGTTAACTTCAGATAAGTGATTTTTCTCACAAAAATGTACAGGTAAATTGTGGTAAGGATGATCTGAGCCAAGGGAAGTATAACTGTAAGAAAACAGTAACCATTTTTGTTCTACTGTTTAGACAGGCCTAGGCCTTCCACACATCTTAGGAAAACAGTCAGCTCTGAGTCTTCAGGGAACTATACAGTTTTTTTAGCAGCAGGCCATTAAATTTCCTGACAGGCCTTGACAGATTTCTCACACTCTGAAAGAGGTAGGCAAATACCTAGAATAATTAGATTACATGCTCCAGAGATGATTTTTTCAAAAAAGAACATTCCTGCAGTTTTTGAACTAGACATAATGATTAAACAACTGTGATTTTACAAATTCTCAGAAAACTGAATTTGACATGTCACAACCACACACCTCTAAATATTAAAGAGATCATCTTTATTTCTATTCACATCAAGTCACAGGAAAAAATGAGAAGGAAAATTGGCATCATTCATAGAAAGCCCATTAACCACCTAAAATATAACATCTGTGAAGCAAAGATTAGGAAAGATGATGTCCTGAGTCAGACATAGAAGCCACTTAGGTGCATAAGGAGAATTATAACAAGTTTGTGTCTCAGCATGACACAGTCTTGTAGAACTGAATTCTCAGCATTCAGGAGGCTGAAGCAGGAAGCTCACGAGTTCTAGCATAGCCGTGGTTAAAGAGTAAATTCCAGGCCTAGGCAACATTTCAATACTCAGTCTCAAAAATTATTGTTGGAAAAAAATCTCAGGTTTAAATACAAGATGACAGATATACAAGGGATATACATGATGACAGTAGATTGCAGACTAAGTATAGTGGAAATAGAACATATAAAAATATCAAAATGTAGGGGCTGGGGAGATGGCTCAGTGGTTATAAACACTAGGTGGTCTTCCAGAGGTTCTGAGTTCAATTCCCAGCAACCACATGATGACTCACGACCATCTGTAAAGAGATCCGGTGCCCTCTTCTGGCCTGCAGATTTACATGCAGACAGAACACTGGATACATAATTTAAAAAACCCTAAAAAAATCAAAATGTTAAAAAAAAATGGATGTATGAAACTGTTGACTGAACAAATTCAATATTGAGATATTCAAAGGTACTGATATTCAAAAGTGCTGAAAATCAATTTGAAAATACTAAGATGTAGGAAATGTCAATTTCAAATTAATACATTTCATCTTTAATTTATTACTTATAACAACTGTATTGACTCCTTACAATCATGTCTTATCTAATAAAATCCCCATTCCACTTCTGATGCTCATTATTTATTAGTAGGAATCTCATTTTAAATATTTCTTGAAAAGGAAATTTTTTATCAAATTTTATATCAAAACATTTTGATACATTCAAAATTATAACAAAAGTTAATACATCAGCTATGAAAATCACAATAGCTGTTTTAAGCTACTTCAAAAGGCACTAGAAACCAGAAGCTAAGTGTTTTGGTGTTAATATATAATTAATTCAATTCTAGTTAATTCAATCCATCCTTTTATCTTATTATTTTAAAATGTTCCCCACATTCAAGTTCAATTTTCTCTATTTATGCAAACTAGTTGCTGATGTGAGGGAATACAACACAGGCTTTGGAGTCAGATGCACTGCAAACTCTGCTATAAAATGAGAGATCATGGAATGAAACAGTATTACAGGTTACATGATTTGTAGGAAATACTGACATCCTAGAGACATTGAGAATAACCATTATAACAAGTATCCATTGAGGGGGCTGGGGAGATGGCTCAGAGGTTAAGAGCCCTGACTGCTCTTCTAGAGATCCTGAGTTCAATTTCCAGCAACCACATGGTGGCTCACAACCATCTGTAATGAGATCTGGTGCCCTCTTCTGACCTGCAGGCATACATGCAGACAGAATATTGTATACATAATACAATAAATAAAATTAAAAAAAAACAAGTATCCATTGATATAATGTATACTTCTGGTAGACATCTTCATTAGATCCTATAATACGTGGATATGCATATGCTAAAGAAATGAACAGAAAAATTAAATGATTGATTTGATAAGGGGTATAAAGAAAACTAGGCCTATGCAGTAGTAAACTGAAATTGCTTTAAAGTCACCTATGATCAAAATTTAGAAAACAACTGAGTATGGGCTGCCCAGCCCCAGTGGATACATGTTCAGCTCAAGGCCCACATCTAAGGTTCAGATAACATCTTAGGAGAGGGTGGAATGATTATTAAGGGCCAAAGGACCAGGAAGTTGGCTGTGAGATTGTTTCTCCAGAAATTGACTTGGAAGCTACATCCATAATACATCAACAGTATTGCTGCTGAAACAGGACAAAAACAATGACAATGCCAATAAAGAGGCAGAATTTCAAGGGCCCTGAACCCAGACAAATAATACAGGTAACTAATGACTTCTGAGAAGGGAAAAATTTTCTTCCCCAGGAATGATACCTCCTAGTCAGTTTTCTCATATTAACTGTTCAGTCCTGAAACATTACAGTAACTACATTGATCCCTTATATTCATGTATTAGCTGATAAAATAAAAATTCCCATTCTAATTCTGATGTTCATTGTTAATCAGTGGGAATTTCATTTTAATTATTTCTCTAAGAAAAAATTTAAAAAGAATCTAAATTCACACAACTTGAACTAACCCTTTGCAAATAGGATGTTTAGTAATTTTGAAAAAAACCATTGTGTTCTCAGACTCATTAACAAACTTATTGAGTCAAAACATGTCCTTTTGTTTTAGCAATTAGGAGTCTTCCCAGTTTTTGTCAAGAGAAGTTTCCATGTAGTCCTGTGAGGGTTGGGAAGGAAGGAAGACCTGATGTTAAAGATAACAAAAGAAACATATTGTTCATCTAATGAATATATATAGGTATCAGCCATTGTATAGTAGCCTTGGTTTTAAAATAAAACAGTACTCCCTGCTCTTAGTAAACTTGAACTATAGACCACTTATTTAAATACTGAGGGAAAGTGGTCAATGAGGAAAGTATGAATATATGCAAAAAGAACATATGTCATTTTACTGTGGTGGAAGTGAAAGTGTCACTAGCTGAGTAAAGGCCTTGTCTGATGTGGGATACAAACCAGATGAGGAATTAATTCTGAAGCAAACACACAGCTTCATAAAGAAAAGAAGGACAGCAGCCTATTTCACAGACTGGGGATTGGTAAACAAAAATGAGCATTACTTCACTTATGGGGAAGGGTTTGCGTTTTGCGGGAAAGGGGGGTTTTGAATGTTCACAAGACATTTAACACAAGCTTCGAAATATGCTTTTGTCACAGCTCCTCCCACTCCTGCAGAATGTTAACGAAGCCATAGCAAGAACTGTCCTCTAGGCCAGAATATTACTGTTTTGTTTGCTGGTTGTTTACTCCCTACTTGCTTACTGCCAAAGAGACTACCTCCTGCCCCTCAGCAGGAGTTAGGAGCCTTTCTTCCGGTTTCCTGCATTAGGATCAAAGTGCCCAGGTTCCAAAATCCATACAGTGAGCTAAACTTGAAGGACAGACAAGGATAAACAGTGTTTCACAAATGGGTGAGGAGAATGACAGTGTGGGCCTGAGCCTTACTTACTGTGTTCCTCTTATGGGCAGTCCAATTTCACTTTAGTTGATGTTTTATGAACACAGGGGTGGGGAGGTAAAAGGAAGCTTTATAAAATAATGACGAGGTGCTTCAGTTTACCCGAAAATAACATAAATGTCCTCAAGCTGCTGTAAAACAACATTGTTTTTCTTCTGTGCTTACATCCTGGCAAAAGTTGCATTTAAATGCTTAACATAGAAGACGAATAAATGCTTCCGCCTGGAGGGCTTCTAGAGAATCCGGAACCCCGTCTGGTTTGGAATAGGGTTCCTAGTGGCTAAATCAAAGATTTTAGGAATCTTATTTGGGATTGGAAGCCTTTACTGGTTGAGCCATCTCCGCTCCCCCTAGAGGCTGGAGTTGTCTCCTTTGAGGGACCCGGAAATCGGCAAGAGGCGTGGAAAGGGGCGTGGCGAGAGGCCTGGGTGGCTGTGATTGACGGGGCCTCGCTCCTCCTCCTCTCCGCGTTTACACCGGGAGACCGCGGCAAGAGGCGGGGCCAGCCTAGCGGAGCACGCATGCGTGGCCCCAGCTGCGGGCGCGCGCGTGACGTCACGCTCGCGCGTCGGTCCAGACAGTTTTTAGTTTCCCGCGAGTGTTGCTGGTGAGTGAGTTTGGGAAGGATTGGAGTTCGTGGTGGGTACGAGGCGGGTCCGGCCCTGGATGGGCGTCACGAGGGCTGTTTAGTGTTTAGTTCAGCCTTTGGTGCAGTTTTGCAGAAAAGTGCATTACGCGTTGTGAGTGCGAGCCGAACGCTGTCGGGAGGAGACGCGAATCGATCCGAGTAGCAGCCCTCATGCATCTCTGGTTAGGGACCGTGGGTCCGCACGCCTCGGAGCTGAGTAGTGACGCTGGTGAGAGGCCCAGGCATAAAGTCTGAGAAGAAAGATTCAAGGTAGATTGCACACATCAGTTCTCATTTCTCTTAGGATATTCACGAGTTCCGGGGAGGAGGCAGCCAGTACCTCTTGAAATTAACAAGCTTTTGGTGCAGTGTGCATTCACAGTATTTTAACTGCAGAGGAATTAAAAAACAAAACCCATGCTTAACTTCACCCCACCCCCATCCCCCGTGTCTGGAAGTTTTAAAGTATGGTGATGAAGCAGTGAAACTAACGAGTCCTAAAACTAGCTTTTAGAAACACTTAAATACAAAATCTAAGTGGAGAGTAATTACATTTCAGCTCCTTACAAGCATGCCGTGGGTTGGTAATTGCAATAGTCATAAGATAGCTTATCTTAATACCTTCATCCAAACACCGAAACCAAGCTTATTAAAGAAAAATAACTAAGAGTAACTCATAGCAAATTGTCAGCTATCCTTTCAATCAAACAGTGCTTTTTGTGTCAACAGACAATTGTCAGCTTCCCTAGTTGAATTTTCACTGGACATCATTGTGGAACAGAACTGTTATGTCACTTGAATTCGCAAAGGGAGTCAAAGGGGTACCAGAACAAAGTTTAGCCACAGAATAAATTACACAAAGTAAGTCTCAGAGCTCTACAGCCAGATTGTGTTTATAGCAATGTTATGTGCAACTAAGAAAGTTATTAACTCAGAATACATTTTCTTCCTAAAAGGAAGGAATGCTCATATTTTATATTCAGCATCTTTGTGAGAGATTGGTTTTTATTTTACAATTACAACGGAGACCAAATATTTCAACGTTGCTTATAACTAGAATACGTTTCTGAGGCACACAGATAAATAGATCTAGTCACAGTACTAAAGGTGTTCTCTAATTGTAATTAATAAGTGTAGCATTATGATGTGTGAATATGAGATAGCTTTTTGGTTTGCTATATTAGAGAAAGTTGAACTGGGAATTTCAAGGTGATAGGGTGTTTTACTTTACCTTCCCTTTGAGTAAGAGTAGGCATTTTTATGCTCAGGAATTTAGATGCTACAGTAAAAGTGTTTTTGTTTTATAATAGGTGATAGTCAGAGCTAAAGGCATGGCCACTCTGCTTCCTGCAGAATATATGGTATATAGAAAGCTTAGAGGGAGAAAGTCTAATTAGGCAATGACAGTAATGTAGGTAAGAGTTGATACTGATTTGAATGAGTAGTAGAAAGAGTAGGAAAAAATAGTTATCTAATGTTAATAAGTCATAAAATGTGTGGCATTTTAGGTCCTGTGTGTGTTAATTCATTCAATCGTCACAAATACTGTGACATTGATGCTTTTATACCTTACCTGTTTTTCTTTCTTTTTTGGGGGGGCGGGGTTTGAGACAGGGTTTCTCTGTGTAGCTTTGGAGCCTATCCTGGCACTCACTCTGGAGACCAAGCTGGCCTCAAACTCACAGAGATCTGCCTGCCTCTGCCTCCTGAGTGCTGAGATTAAAGACATGTGCCACCAACGCCTGGCTATCACTTACCTTTATAGATGAAAATACTGCACTTCAGAAAGGTTAAGTGATGTTCCTGAGATCAGATAGCTAACAAATGGTATAGATGACATTTACATATGGATAGATTGTTTTAGACTTGATGAGATAAAATCCAGAACAATTAGAATAGAGGGGTAATGAGTTAGGGAAGGTTACTGTTTTAAATTCCCATCCATGCTGAGCTAAAGGAGAGGAAACACGTATTTAAGCCCCGAGTTCAAGTTTGGATAGGTCTCTGGTGTGGGGCCACTCATCTTTACCTTCTTCGGACTGTAGGTTTAGACTTACTCCTGTGTTCTCTTTCCAAATAGTCCAAATAGGAGTAGAAGGTGTTTTGCGTTTTCCATCCACTGGGTTTTACCAAATTCATAGGCTTGTTACTCAAATTTTTAGGCCCTTTTTTTTCTAAATGAAAGGTAAGGGGGAAAGAGTCACACAAGGTTCTTGCCTTTCCTCCAGTAACTGCTGCTGCTGTTTGGGGCTTAACCTTTCAAGTCTGTGAAGAAGAGCTTGTAAATGACCGAATCCCCTTGGTTAGTAGCGCCTGGGTGCATTGTACACTGGTAAAGCCCATTCCTGGCCTTAACTGTCCATTAAAAAAATGTCTGATACATTTTGTCACAGGTGCTAGACAGTATCCGACTTTTGCTTTGGCTAAGCAGGTGCAGCCTCTCTTCTGTCACTGAAGAATCTCTTTCCTCACCTGTCTGGTAGTTTATTGCCTTATCCCTCAATTGATGGGTGAGAGAAAGGTTTGAAATTTTCAGGTTGTCCAGTTATTTGTTGTTATTATTCTTTCTAGCATTTTACTTCTGAGTAAAGCTTTACATCTTTACTATGAATCATGCATTGTCTGTATCCCTAGTTTATGCCTATAGTTTTACAATGAGTTTTATGAATAAAGCTGGTATGATTTCTGTCTTGTCAGTAAAGTTGGAGCTTTGCTAGTTATGGGTAAGTCTGAAATATTCATGTGAGAGGTAGGTTTTTAGGACCTACTTTTAAACATTTTCAATAAGGAAAATACATATCTATATGGATGCTTACAAATAGTCCATGATATATCTGTCATTAAAAATAAGAAACAAAGAAAATTTGAAAATTGTGGTGATGATACACTTTGTTGTTTTGAGTAAATAACTTTTTTAGAGTTGACAGAACGGTTAGTTACTGAACTGGAAGAAAAACTAAATTACACTGTGTCTTAGTGTATTGATTTGACCACACCATTCTAGTTTATGAATTTATCATTTCATATTTGGAATTTTTTTATTAAATTGTCATTGCTTTCTAAAAGAAAGCTTTATTTTTTTTATTGTTATGCAGAGATAGTATTAGAGGATAAAACAAAGCTTGGAAAAATTGATTTACTTCGTCATTCTTTGTCTCTAAAACAAGAGGGTTGTTTAACAGATTGAATTATGATTGATATTTGTTTTAGGTCCTCTGATTTTTCTGAGGTAAATTATAATATTCATGTGACCACAATATATTGACTTTCTGAAAGAATGGTCTAAATGAGCACGAGAGAAAGATTCTCTAAAGATTAGTCAGCTTATTTAGGAATAGAATGGCATTACAACTTGAAAAGCATATCATAATGAACTGTGAGTTTATAGCAAGGACTGGGCCAGTACAAGCTTTTAAAGGCAAATGAGTGTGCTTGCTGAAGATATTTTGAGCCATATCCTTGATAAGTCATTAGTAGCAAAGGCTACATCAGTCTAGGGTTGCACAGATAGTTGTTTGTGTGTGTGTGTGTGTGTGTGTGTGTGTGTGTGTAACTTTCAGCTAGTCATATGAGGGAACCCTCTTCAGAATCTCCAAGTGTCTTTGAGTGTTTTGCCAGTGTTGTTACCACTCTATAAATTCTAACTTTTGCTTACATACTGTTAAACATTGTCTTCTTTGCTAACTGCTTTTCTTTGCCTTTCAGGAAAAGCTCATTTGTTTTTTGTTTTGTTTTGTTTTTGTTTGTTTTGTTTTGTTTTTTTCTTAATGTCTTGAGGAAGTAAAGCAACTATTTTGAAGATTAGACTTTAAGGTAGGTAAGCATGCTTCCTTTCTCTTTACCATTTACTTATACTCTAGGAATAAGTAACTTTATATATTTACATGAACCCCCCCCCCACACACACACACACTCTCGAGTGAGTTTTAATTGGTAATACATTTGCAGTAATGTAGACAGACAATATCTATATAAGGAAAACCTACTTTTTCCTTTGCCAAAGGGTTGTTTAGTATCCTCCTCCTACCTCTCTTTACTTTTCCATGAGATCTCTACTCTCACAACCAGACTCACAATAGCTAACCGCTCTGTTTTTACTTTGGCTAGGGTGACCTAATTTAGTAACTTTCTTTAAATTTTGCCCTCAACACGCTACTTTGCAAAGAAAACACACAATTATAATTAGTACCTAATCCTGAAAAGACTTTCATATTTCATTAGCATATCCTATTTTTCATATTTTAGATATATGTTGTTTAAAGGTGTGTGATCTAATTTAATACAGTTTATGACAGACAACTAGGACTGTGAGGAACCTCTTTTGATGTGATCATGACTGTCTTCCAAAATCCCAACAAATGTCATATTAATACTCTTTGCCCTTTCCCGGAGATCAGGGATATAACCTGGGTGCTCATTAAACTCCTCATTCAGGTAGCCTGTGTTGTATACTAAAGGCAGAAAGACCACATGTACAGACCAGAAGAAGAACCACTATAACTGCTTTTATGGACAGATGACATTTTTGTATGACACTAGTCTGTGGAAGAATAGAAAATTGAGTTAATTTTCCCAGAGTGTCAATAATAAATCATCCATCCTCTCAAATGTTATTTTATTAGTAAGTATATCTGCTTTTCAAATTGACCTCTGTCAGATTGAGTAAATATCTTCACATCTTGATTCGGTGATAGTCCCTTCTTAATTGGAAGTTGAGTTTTGGTTTACCTTGAATGCAGATGA